AAAATGAAGAATAGATTTTTAGTCTCATGATATTTATTTATTTACCTCTTAATTTACACAAATTTTATTTAGTAGTATATACATGTGTATATATTGATCATTTATTAAAAATTTCATTTTATAAATATAGGACTTTTACTTTAATATTTTCTTTAAAATTTTTATCACCTTTAATTATTTTAATACTCTTATTAAATAATTTAATTTCTTGTTAGTATTTAACTATTTAAAGATGTATATTCTTTTTAATAATCTTGATTTTATTCAAAATATTTTGACCCTTCATTAATAATTGAAAGATAATGAATTTAGTGGAACTTTACAAATTTAAGAAGATCAGTTAATACTTGAAGATAGTAATCAAAAAGTAGTATATAATCTTATTACTGGAAGACAACTTAATTTCAGTATAATTTTAGAAATATCTCAAGAATCTGAACTAATAATAGAAGAAGCCTCAACTTTAACAAGTAATTTACAAAGTACTTCTAGAGTAAAATAATTTGTGAATATAATCAATACTGAAATTTTGAGAATAGCAATTATAGTAAATGTTAAGTATCAATTTTGATCTAACCAAAACTAGAAGATAAGAGTTCAGACTATATTTAATGATCTATTTAAAAATCATGATAATTAATCTGATGAATTGTAATTCATTAGATATTATTACTTTGGATAATTATTAAAAGAAAAGCCTAAATAATAATCTCTCAAAAATTAATGGAATTACAAAAAGAAATGGCACAGTCAAAAGAAGTTACTTGATCAAAAGATATTTTCTTCTTGAAAAATGAATTCACCAGCTATTAAAAAAATATGGACTTGAGAAAGCATATAATTTTTAACGAATTACTTATAATTACCTAGTACATATAAGAAATGAAAAAATCAAAAAAATTTTGAAAAGGATTTAATATTCTTACTGGAACTTGATCTTATTTAGAAAGATCAAATATTATCATAGTAACATAAATTTCTTTAATTTTATAATTTTTCAAACTTGAAAAATTTGACCAATTAATTAATCTTTAGAAAATATATGATTTTGAATAATATAATTAGTGTATCAGTTATGGATTCAATCATGATTTAATAATATTCTTGTAATATTCTTGCAATATTCTAAGATTATTAATAAATAATTAGCTCTAAAATTAACAATAATTTACAAATAGTTTAACAATAGTTCAGAAATACTTTAAAAATAGTTCATCAATAAATTTCATTTATTTTTATCATTTATCTTTTCTTTTTAGAATATCTATTTTATCTTTTTATTTTATTTTATCATTTGTATTATTATTTATCTTATCACATATATCTTATCTCTTATTTTTACTTGTTTGTTTATTGATTCTTTGTCTCAAAGATTGTAATTGTAATTTAGAGTAGCAAATGAGTTTAGATAGAAACTTGTAAAATCTTAAAGATGTATAAATATTTCTGCTCTGAGATCTGAAATAAATATACTTGAATAATAATAATTCAATTATTATTAAAAATACTTGAGTTATACTTATCTTGTAATTTTCTCTGAAAACTTATCTTAATATGTGGGAGGGCTAAAAAGTTTTACATGTGATACTCTAACTTGAGATTGCATCAGTTTAACTAAAATTAGAAATAATTATCAAATGTATATGATTTTATATAATAAATAAAAAAAAAGTAGAAGCAAATTCATTATCTCATTATTGAGAAAATAATTTTTTTGCAAAGCATAGTAAAATAACTAGAAGAAAATGAGCTATAAAAATCAATGATATTTTATTTTTGTTTCTTGAAAAAATGGTAGAAATGCAACTCAAATCCATGAAGAGTTAGTGAACGTAAAAGGAGAACAAGCATTATCTATCAGCATAATTAGATGCTGGATTGCTATATTCAAAAATGGAGAAGAAGAAATTAAAGATAATGCCTTTTCTGAACATCTTCATGAAGCAGTGACATCAGAAAAAATTTTCAGGATTGAGAATCTTGTTAGTGATGATCTGCATATTTCTATTAAAGAATTAACTAATGAAGTTGGTATTTCCCATGAAAGAATTTCTTATATTTTATATGAAGAGCTGAATCTTCACAACCTCTATACAAAATAGATTTTCCATAGGCTTTCAGAAAAATATAAACAAAATCATGTCAAACTTTCTAAGTAACTATTAAAAATTTTAGATAGAGGATACAAAATATTATTACTGATAATGAAATATGGATATATTTTTTTATTATTTCAAATAAGAAAGTGAACAAGTCATGACTAGAAAAGGATAAGAATAGGCCACAAATTGTGAAGATGGCTTAAAATTCAAAAAAAAGAATATTTTGCATATTTTTTTTTGTAGATGGAGTTATATGATTTGTAATTCCAAAAGGACAAATAGTTAATGCTAACCTTTATGCCAATGAGATACTATCAAAAGTTTTTTTGAACTTTATAGAAAAAAGAAATAGAATGACTATTCATGACATCATGCTTCATCATGATAATGCCATAGTATATAAAGCAAGAATTGTAACAGAATATCTTTGTAATGAATGAGTAGAACTTCTTCTTCACCTACCATACAGTCCAGATCTTGCTTCTTGTAATTTTTTCTTATACTCTCGAATAAAAAAAGAACTAAAAAGAAAGAAATTTAATAAGATCAAAAACTTGGCAAGGGCTATTTAGGCAGTTGTTGAAGGTATTCCAAAAGAGAACTATGAGAACTCTTTCCAGAGTTGGCAAAATTGGCTAGAATGTTGTATAGAGTTTAATGGAGAGTACTTTGAAGGAATGAAGTAGTTGTATTGATAATTATTATAATAGTTCTGGAAATAAATATCCACGTACAAAATTTTTCAGCTTCCCTATATATTCTGCTTTCAATTACCTCTTCTATTATAATAGATTATATTTTGATTAAAAAGGTTCTTGATAGCTTTTCTATATGTAAAAGCTTGGATTTGGTATTTATTATCTCTATTTTAGAAAAGATTTGATAAGCTTTCCTACATGTAAAAGCTTTATTTGGCATTTGTGTCTTTATTTTATTTGGCATTGATTATCTTAGTTTTATTTGCATTTGTTACAATTATTTTAACATTTGTTACTAGTTTTTAAGTATTTATTGCTTAGTTTTTGATATCATCCCTTGTTTAGTATTCATGATCATAACTTTATTTTATAATTTTGTTTTATTTTATTTTTGCCTGGTGTTGATACAATACTCATAAGTATTGACACTAGAAAATCTTTAGAATAATTGTAATCTCCTTTACCTTTATAAATAATTCAGTCTTCACTCTCAAAATTTATTATAAACTATATTTGTAATAAAATCTACCTTTCAGAGTATAGTTTATAATATTATATCATATTTATTTTATTTATAATTATTAATAAAATAATCTTATAAATTATTAGAAAAATATAAATTTAGAAAAGTCTATAACTTTCAACAAATAATTTATAATAATATAATTTTTATCAGAAATAAAAAAATTAAAGAAATTTTAAAAAAAATTTAATTAGTCTTACTAAAGCTTGATCTTATTTAGAGAGAGCAAATATTATTATATTAATATAAATTTTTTTAATTTTATAATTTTTTCAAATTTTAAATTTTTAATTAATCAATTTATTTTAGAAAACATATAATTTAAAATAATTTAATTAATATATTAATAATAATTTTAGTTATATTTTAGAAATAATTCAGAATTATAAATATATAATTTATTTAATATTAGTTATAATTTATAAATAATTTATTAATAGTTTAGTTATACTTTAGAAATGGTTCAAAAGCAAATTTTATTTATTTTTTTTATTTAATATTAATTATCTTTTCTTTATAAAATATGAATTATTGCAAGAGGATTGATATATTAATATAAAAATTAATAATTAAATCTAATAAAAATTATTTAAATTTTAACTAATCTTTATAATTTTTTTATATTAAATAAAGAATAGTCTAAATTAACTTTTTATATTATTTTAATT